TATATATATATATATATATATATATATATATATATATATATATATATATGAAAAGATTTAATAATAACTATAATATATACATTATATACATTACATAAAGAATTAATTAATTAATTCGCGGACTGAAACGTAAAAGCGTCATAAAGCCTACAAGCGTCCAAATTTTAAAAGTTATAAAATTTTCATTACGTGCATGAATATATTTGTACATGCATGAATATATGTACAAAATAAAGTAAAATATGCTTAAAGTAAAATATGTTTAATATAATATAAAATATGCTTGCTATAGTGGTGCGGTACAAAAACATACGCGACTGTTATGTTAGATTAAAATTTTATGCACGCCTATTTAACTCGTCACAAAATCTGACTGTGTAGCACTCTTCAAATTAATGCAAGAAACAATGAAAAAATATTTTCCTTTATAAATATTGCGTCTGCAAAGTAAAATATGTTCAAACAGTACAGTACAGTCGTGCTTGCACGACTGGTGCGATGCATGGCTATGCACGACAATTATATTTATATAAGATTTTTCGCACGCCTATTTGCAAAATGTAGGTATGTAGCACCCTTCAAATAATGCAAAAAACAAATAGAAAATGCTTTCCTTCATAAATATTGCGTCTGCAAAGTAAAATATGTTCGAACATTACGCGCTTGCACGACCGGTGCAGTACATGGACATTCGCGACGATTATATTTATATAAGACTTTCTGCATGCCTATTTGCAAAATCTGGCTATGTAGTGACCTCGATAATACTGTGAAGGTCAAATAATAAATGGTCCCAAGCAAAATATCTAACATATTAAGACCTTGAATAAGTTCTCGCTGATTTTTCGTGAAAATTAATGATTTATTTAAAAAAAGTCGTAAAGAACATGTCATTGAAAATATTGTCCATCGCTAGCCACTACTTTTTCCCATTTTTCTGGCAGCATTTGAATTTCATATCGGAAAAACGACACGTCTTTTGAGACTATCCAAGAGTCGATCCATTTTTTGGCATCTTCATAAGAATGGAAGTGCTGCTCAGCCAGGTCATGTGCCATCGATCGGAACAAGTGATAATCGAAAGGGGCAATGTCTGGTGAATACGGCGGGTGGTGTAGGACTTCCCATTTAAGCATTTCCAAGTAGGTTTTCACCAGTTGTGCAATATGTGGCCAAGCGTTGTCATGTTGCAAAATGACTTTGTCGTGTCTCTGCTCGTATAGCGGCCGTTTTTTCTTCGATGCTCAAACGCATCAATTATAGTCGATAGCGATCTCCCGTGATGGTTTCGTTCGGTTTGAGCAGCTCATAATAAACTACACCCAGCTGATCCCACCAAATGTAGAGCGGAAGCTTCGAACCATGGATATTCGGCTTTGCCAACTATGTTGATGCATGGCCGGACTTACCCCACGATCTTCTACGCTTAGGGTTATCGTAGTATCCACTTTTCATCGCCAGTCACAATACGATGCAAAAAATCTTTCCTTTTCTGCCGTTCAGCTGTTTACAAAGACGCCGTTTGAAAAGACACCGTTCGATGTCTGTCGGCTTCAACTCGTACAACACCCAATGTCCTTGCTTTTGAATCATTCCTAATACTTTCAAACGTTTCGAAACTGTTGTGTGATCAACTCCTACTGATTCTGCAAGTTCAGCTAGCGTCTGACATAAGTCTTCATGAAGTAATGCCTCCAATTCTTCGTCTTCAAACTTTTTCGGTGCTACAGAGCGTTCTTTATCTTTAACATCAAAATCATTATTATTGAGCTTATTATTATTTAAGCGTCTGAACCAATCTCTGCATGTTGTTTCTGACGGGTGTATATCAGTTGGACACGGGGCAATTGGACACAGTCCAATCACAAGTCGCTGTTCCAAGGGACCCTACAAATGTCTCTAATCACACGGTGCTGTGATTGGCTGTGTCCAAATGCACCATGTCCAAGTGCACCGCTTCCGTTTCTGACAGAGTATGGTTGCCATAAGTCTCAACAAGAATTCTGTGTGCTTCAGCTGCAAATTTTTTTTAATAAAATAGTGCAGTAAAATTCCCAGCAAATACTCTTTTTTGGCATGAAACTCGACATGTTTATGTTATGTTATCACTATGAAAAAAAAGTTGTTTACACTTCGGCGAAATAACATACACTAAATTTCAAGCTTGCTTATAGTACTTCCTTATAGATGTGTTACCATATTAGACTACACGCACGCTGTTCTGGTAACGCCATCTGTTGGCAAACAGCGAAAACTTATTCAAGATCCTGATAAAATTTATGTTTGCTACTTATTTAGAAAATTGCTTACTTGTTCCTTACATTCTTGTTATATTTTTCACCTCAGAGACGTTAGATTATATATATATATATATATATATATATATATATATATATATATATATATATATATA